CGGCCCCTCCTCCTTGCACTCACAGAGCAGCGCCAGAGCCTGGGCCGCAGCCGCGTGCGCGCAGAGCCGAACCGAGCCGAGCGGAGCGGAACCGAGCTGATCCCAGCTGGCTGCCGCCCCTATTTACCCGCGTGGCTCCGCCCATGTCACGTGACTACGCGTCCCGTCCAGCCACGTGACCCTCTCCCCCACGTGACCTGTGAGCGCCGCATCCTGCGCCCCTTGCTTTCCCGGACCCCGCGACCCCGCCGCGGGGAGATGCGCCGGAACCCCGCTTCCTCCCGGGCCACTGCGCCCCCGCGGGCCGGGCCGGCTCCGTTCATCCCCGGCCACTGCTGGCTGCGGGTGCGGGCGGCCGGCCTCGCCCCGGAGCCCGTCAGCCTCAGCGTGGTGTTCGTGCTCCCGCGCGCTGAATACCTTAGGAAGGCAGGGAAGGCAGGGCCTCAGACCTCTGAGGGGCCCAGCTTCCTCTCCCCAAGGGCGGGCCCAGGGATTTCCGTTCCCCAAGGCGGTCACAGAAGGCAGAACCTTTGCAAAGCCAGCTCGGAAACCCAGATCGCCAGTCAGCCTTCCCTACTCTGCAGAGGAGGTGGCCCTGAAGAAAAGCCCTTCCAGGTAGCGGGAGGCTGAGACAGGAGGATGGCAAGTGGGAGCCCAGCCTGGACATTTAGCCAGACCCAGTCTCAGAATCGTAAAAAGGCTGAGGGCGTAGCACAGCACTCTAAATTCAATTCTAAGAAGAGTGTGGTATTTTATTGAGGCTTTCGTGACCTGGACACGCAGATGGGGTGGTTCTGAGCAGCCTACTGAAACCTGCTGTTTGTCTCACGCTCTGTGTCTCTGTCTCTCTTTGTCTGAGTGCCTTGCACACGCTGTGCAAGTGCTCTGCCGCTGTGTTATTCCCCAGCCACAAACCCCGTATTCTTTGCTAATTTGGTTTTTGAGACAGGGGCTTGCTGTGTAGCCCAGGCTGGTTCTGACCTCACAGTGTTGCTCCTGCCTCAGCCTCCCAAGTGCTGAGATTACAGGAATGTGCCACCACACCCGGGGCTGGCTTTCCACTAGGGGCCCTGGCCTAGGGCGCCTGATCTCCTGCTTAGAGGTACAGGGACAGAACAAAACACGTACAAAACACATATTTTAGTTACAAGGTGCACCAGGATGATCAAAGCCCATCGGTGGGCTAGGACACAAGGCACTCTGTCCTGGGCCTTTGTTAGGTGCACAGGGGGAAGGGGAGGGTGCTGGTGGCTGCAGGAAGTGGTGGGGGTGAACTGCTGACCAGACCAAGGTTCACGGATAGAGGAACAACGCATTTTCGGAAAAGCACACAGGAGCAGGTCATGGTTAACTGGTAACCCGATTGTCTGATAACTTCGACCACTGAGCTGGGCGGAATTTGCACGAGTCCTGTCCTCAGCTGCCGTGTTATCTTGCTCTGAGGAGCCAGCACTTAGCTGTCTGCTAGTCTCAGCTCTGGCCTTGGCTGAAAGGTTAATCTGTCCTTAAGCCGGCTGGGGGTCTCACCACAGTCACGTAGGCCTAGGACACCCTCAATTTATTTTTGTGCCGTTTATTCATATTAATTGTTGTCTGCTCTGTACCTGGTCAAGCTTGTCCTCAGCATTGCTCAGCAGATGCCTGGCCAGCAGCAGTGACGCAGTCCTGAGCCCTGAGGCCCATCAGAGAGGGTCCCCCACCTGGGTAGGAGCAGGAGGAAGCAAGTCCCAAGAGGCCAGGCGTGAAGCTGAGCACCGAGGGGCTGGGAGAGCGGGGCGATGGGACCCCAGAGGAGAAAGCGGCTCCAGCTCACAGGGGCCTCCTGGCCTGTTTATCCCAGCCAGGCCTGCGATGTCACTGTGTCCACGTGTCACCGTCCGCCGCGTGTCAGGTCCCTGTGAACTCGGCATGGGCCCCCACAGTGGCACAGGCAGGGAGGACGCCTGGAGCCGTGGTAGGGCTCTATGGTGACAGCGGCCCTCGAGGTGTGCTTTGCACACGTTACACGGTGTCGGTACAGGGAGAAGTCAACTGGGACACCAACAGCACGAGGAAATTCTACCAGAGGGGAGGCTGGCCCTTCCTGGGGCATCCTGTGCTTCGGGAGGAGGCAGCGCCTGTATACTCCTTCCCTACCGCCCCCTTTTCTCTTTACTCTCCCCTCCCTGCCTTGTTCAGTTTCCTTCCTGAACCCAGGGCCTTAACGCTGAGCTGCTTCCTCCGCCTGTGCAGAGGGACTTTGCCCGTGTGTGTAACACCGGCTGCCCGCTGAGCATGTGGGAAGGAGGCCGGGTGTCCACCCTGCGGAAATGAAAACACGTGTCCTCCCGTGAACTCGTGCCAAATGACCACAGCAGCAGTATTCACAATGGCTTAGAGGTGGAAGCAATCTGTGTTCATCAGCTAATGAGTGGATAAACAAAATGTCATATAATCACAAAATGGACTATTACTCAGCCATAAAAAGGAAGGAAGGAGGTCTTGCTACACAGTACAACATGGACAAACCTTGAGAATATTATGCTAAATGAAAGAAAAAAGGACCCATGGGAAGTGTCCAGAAGAAGCCAGTCTAGGGACAGAAAATAGAGCAGGGACTGCCTCAGTGGAGGGAAGGCCCGATTTGGGGAGTGATGTAAAGTGTGAGGTTATAAGATGTGTGCTCCAAGTGTGACCCGGGTGACTGTTGCATATTGCTGAGAACTCACAAAGATTCTTGAACTGTACTGTGTGTCACACAAGTCAATCGTTGTGTTTAGTTCTCTAAGTAGAATTCTTCCCTTCAAAACAAAGAGTTCTTGAAAGGTTCATTCTACCTGGGCAGAGTTGTACTATATACTTACTTATTCTGGTGTTTTTTGTTTGTTTGTTTTTTGAGACAGGATCTGCGTATGTGGTCCAGGCTGGCCTGGAGCGCGTGGTGATCCTTCTGCTTCAGCCTCCTGAGTGCTGGGATTGCGGGCGTGCGCCACCCCGGCAGGCTGGAGTTGTACTCTCTAAATGGGTGAAAATGATGGCATGTCAGTTATGTTTCAGTAACGATGTTACCAAAAGGTTGATTGGGAAGTCCTGGGAAAGCAGAGAAATAGAACCATTCTTTTCTGTCACTTCAGAGATTTCTTTCCTGAAGAAATACCTGAGTTCTGCATCTCCAAATCCTGTAAATCTAATTTCCTTGGCCCACTTGGTGACCATTTCTGTCCCCCAGAGTGAGCCCCTGGTGGGACGGCTTTGGATAGAGCAGCCCTGGTCCTCACAGCCCCATCGGGCTGACCACGATGCCGCGGGCCAGGCCGGGTCCCCAGGCGGACTCTACAGAGTGACTCTGGGTCAGCGTGAACCCCCTCAGTAACCTCGTTCATCAGTGAGCGCTTGGCAACATTGTTTAGCGTGGCCTTCTGGAGCCTGGGGAGGCGGTACACCCCTGTCCTCATAGCTACTTGGGAGGCTGAGGCAGGAGGATTGGGAGTGGTAGGCCAGCCTGGGCCACATGGCAAGATTGGTTCATAAACAGAAAGCACTAAGTAAATTCTCCTACAGGCGTGGACTGGCAAAGGTCTTACAAGATCAGAGAAACCTTCCCACCCCATTGTGCTTTACGTGAGGGTAACAGCTGCATGTAGTGGCACATGCCTGTAATCCTAGCACTCGGGGCAGGAGGACAGCCATGAGTTTGAGGCCGGACTGGGCTACATAGTTCAAGGCCAGGCAGCCCTACAAATCGAGACCCTGTGTCAAAAAAACAAAAAAGCAAATACATAGCCCAGTGTTGGGTTCCATGTGCGACATGGACTAAGACTTCCAACGTGAAGTCTAGTGTGAGTCTAGTGTCCCCTGCTATCGAGGGCCGTGGGCGTCTCGTCCGTCTCTCCCGTGGGGCTTGGTGTCTGCCGCGTGGAGCCGGAGGGCTGTGGGCGAGTGACCCAGGCTCCTAGCCAGCCAGGGCGGGCCGCACTGTGGGCTGTGTCTGCCCTGCGCCTTCCCTGACCCCCAAGTCCCGGCACAGAACACAGTGTCTTGAATAAGCCTGGACGGCCCTCGAGCACAGACTCTCCTCTCTGGGTCCAGCAGCCGCTAGGCCTAGGGTTTGCACCCGCCAGAGCGGTAGTGGGGACGGAGCTGCGGTGGCACCCCCGCCTGGGCTGGCCCTCCTCAGAGCCCGGGCAGCAGCTGCGGGCTGAGGTCCGGGCTGCTGAGCCGCGCCGCTTCCCCAGGCCTCTTCCCCAGGCCTCTTCCGAGCCTGACGCGCCGACCTCCGACGCGCCGGCCGCTGAAGGGTGCCCCTTTGCAGGCAGACCTCGCCTCCTGCTGAAGAAAAGTGCACAGGAGGCCGCTGTTCCCGACTACCGCCGTGTGCGAGGCCCCAGCGGACCAGACTGAAGTCCGAACGGAGTCTCGCCCTAAGCCCCTCCTCCCCGCGCGCGGCTCCGCCCGCTGAGAGCGGGGAGGGCGACGGCCTTTCTCAAACCCGCGCCGCTGGGGAGCCCCCCGCCGCCTCCGAGCTTGGATGGCATGAGCGGAAGCAGCGGTGTGTGACCCAACCCGCACCTCTGTCCCGCCTTGGAGGAGAGGACCCTAAATGACCTGCCGCCCCCTTTATATCCTTCGGCTCAGCCCATTGGCGCGTATTCCACTGTGCGGAAAGTACTGTCCAGCCCTAGAAACGCGCCGTGCGGCCGGGAAGTTAAACTGTTGTGATTTTGTCCTGATTCCCCCTACCTCTTCTGAACCCACAGTGCCCCAGGCAGATCCCATCAGGAGCCAGAACCGCCCGAGGTTCCCGGGGGCTTTGGGGACACTTTGGCAACCCTACCTCGTACGGGATCACCCTTCTCAGCGCCCCCTTGGTGCTGGTCCAGCCACGGCGAGGAAAAAATACGATGCCAGAAAAAAATACATCCGAGTTCTGCTGCTCCTGAACTTCTCCCGGCCGTGTGAGGATGTACTCGGGTTGGACTGCAGAGGGGACCAGCCATGTGAGTGGGAAGCAAAGCCCCACCTGATTTCGGGCCCATAGCCGGACACATTGAAAGTCCGGCCTTATGAACACAAATGCAACTGGGTATGGTGGCACATGCTTGTAATCCTACCACTTGGGAGGCTGAGGCAGGAAGATCACCAT